ACTCTCCCAAAGCACAAGCCAGTAACCATAAGCCCGGTAACTCTAAACCCTAAACCCTAAACCCTGAACCCTAAACCCTAAGCCCTGAATCCTAAACCCTAAACCCTAAACCCTAAAGACCGTCAAGCCGGAAACAATCATAACTGGGCCCCGGCCCGGCAACCTCAACGCGACGCGGACAGACCCCAAGTTTCAAGAGGCCTCCCTTACTAAACCCCGAAACTCCCAAATCCCTGCACCCTGAATCCTAAATCCGTAAACCCTGACCTCCTCAACCCCTACGTCCTAAACCCTGTACTCCTAAACCCTAGCCCAAAACCCTCGCCCAAAACCCTAGCCCTAAACCCTAGCCCTAAACCCTAAACCGAGCTCGACCTCAAGAGGCGCAGTGAGCTTCATCGTGAGATGAAGCCTGGGCTCAGGTACTTGCTAAGCCACATTGCCATTCGGGTTAGGGTTTAGGGTTTAGGGTTTGGGGTTTAGGGTTTAGGGTTTAGGGTGTCGGGTTTAGGGTTTAGGGTTTAAGGTGTAAGGGTTTAGGGTTTAGGGTTCAGGGTTGAGGGTTTAGGGCGTAGGGTTAGGTTTTAGGGTTGAGGGCTTAGGGCCTAGGACTTAGGGCTTCTTGTCATTTCTGATTATGAAATAGTGCACGGCCCATTCATACTGTTTTTTGCCATGCAGTATTAGGATATTGTGTATACGCATGCCACTTTTTCAATATGGAGTTTCGGGTACGCATCAAAAGCCCAATTTGCTGTTCATATCTTTCAATTGGGCAAATTGCATGGTCGTTTAGTGGTTATAAAAAATTATCGTGGCTCCACGACAGAAACGGTACAGGCCGCACGAAGCCTACTAATGGTTGGGCGCTCTTCATGCGCTGACTTCGTTCCCTGCGCAGAATCATGCGCTAAATGAGTCTTTTGCTCGTTCATTACATGTTTAGGGTTTTGCGCTTCGTGTTTCGGGAGCTTCGAGGCGCTCTACTTTGACAATCGGGAACCTACAAGGCAACAAGGGAAGAGTGAGGGAAGCATGGGAGCCTCACGAGCTGCACCCAAACCCTAAATCCTCCCACCCAGAAAACCCTAAACCCTAAACCCTAAACCCTAAACCCTCTCCGTGCGCCCCACGCTTCCTCAGGCGCCCGTCGCGCCTTCGCAGCATTGCAGGAGGTTAGAGCTTCGGGCTCAGGGTTAGGCGGACGTGTATGTTGTAGCTATAAAGGTTGCTTTTTGGGTCTCTTTTAAAGCACAGTATGTGTGTTGGCATACGCAGACAACTCTACATCTACATGTGCGAATGTGTATGGATGTATACATGCCGTACCCTAAATCCCCCAAAGGATCCCAAAAAAAAACAAAGCCCCACCAAACCCCAAACCCTACTACAACCCCGAAACCCCCAACCTTAAACCCTGAACCCTAGACCTCAACCCCCAAGAATCCCAAAGCCCCACCAAGACCCCACAAACCCTGAACCCTAAGCCCCAAACCCTAAACCTTCCGGGGCAGGAGTCTGCAGATTGGCGAACACCCACGCCAAACCCCTACCTCGAGCCTAACCCCTTATAAAGGCATCCTTTTCTGAAACCCTAAACCCGAAACCCGAAACACCAACGAACGGTTGAGGTTGCAGGGTTCTCGGCGTTGGGCCTCCCGGGCGCGGCGAATAGCGTTGTAGAGGGCCGCCCCCTCAAAGGGGAGGAGGACCTCTGACGTTGACTGTTTGGGGGTTGGGGGGTTTGGGGTTTAGGGTTTAGGGTTTAGGGTTTAGGGTTTAGGGTTTAGGGTTTAGGGTCTCGGGCTAAACCCTGAACCCAAAAACCCCCAAAGCCCCAAGCCCTGAATCTTGGACCTAGGCCGGTTTGGGGTTTGGGGTTTAGGCGGAAGTTTCTCGGCTTCGCGGCGGCTGGTCCTAAAGGAAGGGGCGGAGGCGCGAAGCCCAATAATCCCTATATGAGCCGGAGATGTAACATCGGTACGGAGCAACCCTAAACCCTAAACCCTAAACCCTAAACCCTAAACCCTATACCCTCACCGAAGAAGACACTCAAGCAAGCCGACCCGAAAAACTTGGTGTCGGGGGGGGGGGGGGAGGGAAGGGACTGTACATAAATTCTTCAAGGCCACCCTTAGAGAATGTGTGCTTCACACGAGGACTCCCTTCAAACATCCTTGAAGATGCCCTGATGCCCTTTTAGGAAGAGGACTTCCCATACCAAGCAGGGGCTCTGGCAAGGTGCGCTGTCATTGCGGCCCTGCATCCTTGACCCTGCTGCCCTAAGCTTCCTTTACGTCCCCCCTTAACCCCCTAAACCCAGAACTCCCCCTCCCAACCCCTAAACCCTAAAACCTAAACCCTAAACCCTAAACCCGAAACCCTGAACCCTGAACCCTAAACCCTGAACCCTAAACCCTAAACCCCAAGCTCTTGGCCCCTGCCTCCCTTCCTGCGGCCGTAGCTTTGCGGCCGCCCGTCTCGCCAAGGAGCATTAGCAAAAGGCCTGGCGGCAGCTCGGAGGTCTCAGCCTAATATAGGGGGTTGGAGTATTTAGGGTTTTAGGTTTTAGGGTTTAGGGTTTAGGGTTTAGGGTTTAGGGTTTAGGGTTTAGGGTTTAGGTTTTTTGTTCAGGGTTTAGGGTTTAGACTCATAGTTTTCCCTGATGGTCCCTTGGTAACGAAAATAGAATAACCCCCAAAAACCCTATTCTAATTATTCAGGCCCCGATGTTCGACTCGGAGCCCCCAAACCCTTGCATCCTCGCGCCCTGCGTCCTGTGTCCCGAATTCTCGACCCCCTGAACCTTGCGCCCGGCCCCAAAACCCAAAACATCCCGTTCCATCTCGTAACCCTAAACCCTAAACCCTAAACCCTAAACCCCAAACCCTAAACCCTAAACCCTAAACCCTAAACCCCTAAACCCTAAACCCTAAACCCTCCTAGTAAACCCTGTGAATTTCCTTTTTTTTATTGTCTGCCGAGGCCCGAGATACCGCATTCTGGGGGCGGGGCTTTCGAAAAGAGCTCAGGCTTGCGTTGAGGGTCTTAAGGTCTTAGGGTTTAGGGGTTTAGGGGTTTAGGGTTTAGGGGTTTAGGGTTTAGGGTTTAGGGTTTAGGGTTTGGGGTTTGGGGTTTAGGGTTTAGGGTTTAGGGTTTAGGGTTTAGGGTTTAGGGTTTAGGGTTTAGGGTTTAGGGACCTAGGGGGGCTTTTAAGGTTTAGGGTTGAGGGTTTGAGGGTTTCAAACCCTAGACGAAGCTTAAGGTTTTGAGAAGGGTGAGTGTAATTTAGGGCTTCGGGATGCTTACCCCTGAACCCTGAACCCTAAACCCTAAACCCTAAACCCTAAACCCTTTGGGACCCTCAAAGCCCAGTGCTTTAAGCCGCCGAGGTGCAGCAGCCGAGTCCGTACCTTGGGGCGGAAGCACTGACGCGGGGTTTTGGAGTCCCCTAAAGCCCTAAACCCTAAACAATAGCCCTGAACCCTAAACCCTAAACCCTAAACCCTAAACCCTAAACCCTAAACCCTAAACCCTAAACCCTAGCCCTAAACCCTAAACCCTAAGCCCTAAGCCCTGAGCCACAAGCCCTGAACCCCCCTAAATTTCAGGTATTCCGGGCTTCGGGAGGCGGTTGCTGGACTTCGGAGCAGGGGAGTCTCAGGCCTCAGGGTTGCGACACATCTGTTTAGGGTTTAGGGTTTAGGGTTGAGGGTTGAGGGTTTAGGGTTTAGGGTTGAAGGTTTAGGGTTTAGGGCTTAGGGTTTAGGGTTTGGGGTTTAAGGTTTAGGGTTTAGGGTTTAAGGTTTTTGGTTTAGGGCTTGGGGGTGAGGTTTGGAGTTCTACCACCCGGAGCACAATGCCGACAGCAGCCCCCCGAAACTAAACTCATGAACCACAGGGTTTCGGTTAGGACTTGGGCTTTGGGCCTCGGGATTTGGGTGTCTTCCACGCGCTCCATTTTTAACCGCCGTGAAGCGGATCGGTAAGCTTCAGCCGATGTGAGGAACTCCCGCATCTCCATGGAACCCTTAAACCCTTAAACCCTTAAACCCTTAAACCCTAAACCCTAAACCCTAAACCCTAACCCCTAAACCCTAAACCCTAAACCCTAAACCCTAAACCGTGGTTGAGGGTTTGGGGTTTCGGGCAACCCACAACCTAAAGCCGGAGCCAATAGCTCTCTGGAGGGCAATCGAAGCCGCAAAGGCGGCTAGAAATGTGCCGTGGATGATCTAATCCTGGGCTCTTGGTTTAGGGTTTAGGGATTGGGGTTGGGGGTTTAGGGTACAGGGTTCAGGGTTCAGGGTTTAGGGTTTAGGGTTTAGGGTTTATAGGTTTAGGGTTTATAGGTTTAGGGTTTAGGGTTTAGGGTTTAGGGATTTAAGGGCTACTTAGGTACATAGGGACTATATAAGGTAGATATAGGGGTTATACAATATAGGGGGGTTCTTGCCCAAAGGGCTTGGGATTTGGGGAAGGGTGGCTACTTTGATGAAAGGGATCTTAGCTCCTGACCCTCGCAGAAAGGGACCAAATACTCCCACGAGCAGTCCTCACTCCTGAGCCTAAACCCTGAACCCTAGGCCCCTAAGCCCCTAAACCCTAAACCCTAAACCCTAAACCCCACTTTGGAGCCAAGTGTCAACGCGCCCCCAACTGCATTTTGAGCCGGCACCCAGCCCCGGCGCGAGCCGCACTCCGCTTCGGCTTCCGCAGACTCCAGCCGGTTCCTTGGCTTAGGGCTTAGGGTGTAGGGTTTAGGGTTTAGGGTTTCGGGTTTAGGGTTTAGAGTTTAGGGTTTAGGGTTTGGGGTTTGGGGTTTAGGGTTTAGGGTTTAGGATTTAGGGGGTTGAGGGGATTCAGGTTGACTCCTTGTGGTGATGGGGCATACTTGCGCTCAGGGGGTAAGTGGGTCACAGGGGAGGGATTTCAATCCCTTTCTTTAAAACTTCAGGATGCTCATGGGCTCTTATCGACAGAACCACCGGCGAAAAATGCTATGTTTCTTGAACACGGTCTAGCTTCAGAAAGGTTCGTCGCACCACCACATCGGTGCTGGCCGACGCGAAGCAGGGCTTCTTCATGTGCGGGGCTCGCACCTGGAAACGAGCAGCAGGGGCCTCGCCAATCCTCGGGGCCGAAACTCCTCCGTTCAGGCGCCGGTAGGCCCGCTGCTGCCGGTGGAATGCCGGCTCGAGGTGCTGCCTGCAGCTCGACCACTCCAGCGTGCGTACGGCAACTTGATATGGTACCAATGCCCTTCCATTCAACTCCGAATAGAGCCTGAGCTGGATATCGAGCCGCCGCAGGAACTCTTCGAGGTAGAGATAGAAAGTGAACTCTTGGTCAGTCCACCTTGTCCAGCAGGAACCGATCCCGTCGTCATCCGTGACAACCACCCAGCCGCTCTCCTCCGGTCGGCTCTGCGTTGGCATGGCCCCAGGGCGAACCGGAAGCAGTGGCGCTCCGCGGTTACAGTTGCGGAGGTGTAGAATGGTGTAGTATGATTTGTCCTTAGGACCCAGTGGATTAGAGGTACTTTGGGGCCAAAACCGAACAAACAGGGAAAATCGCTTCTCTTCGGTGCACTCTCGAGTCGGCCCAGCCGTGAACCCCAACCCCCCTAACCTTAAACCCAAGCCCTCACACTAAACTCTCCCTTAAGCACCCTTCCCCTACGCAAGAGCTTGGGAGGCTTGTGGAGAAGCCCTAAACCTGAGCCCTGAACCCTAAACCCTAAACCCAAATTGCAAGCGTCCACTTCCAGAAGCCTTGGCAGATCGCTAGACTGCAGGTGCTTCTCGAAGCGATCCTTCTCCAGCTTGGCCAGCCGAGAGAGGTGCCCCGTGGCCCACACCTTGTTAGGGTTTAGGGTTTAGGGTTTAAGGTTTAGGATTTAGGGTTTAGGGTTTAGGGTTTAGGGTTTAGGGTTTAGGGTTTAGGGTCTAGGGTTCACGGTTTAGGGCATGCAGTGAAAGGGCGATCGTGACATGCGATGATCAGCCATGGCCCGATAGTGGAGGGCCATCTAACATCTTTATCCCACCCAACGCCGTCTCAGGCGGTAAAACCACCCAAACCACTTCCAATAAACTTCTTCCGTTCCAGAGGGTCTGGCGTCGGGGCGTAGGGTCTCAGAACGTCAGGTCAGATTTCCCTGGGCTCAGGTGGTACCCCTGCTTTCAAGGCCGGGCATCTAGAAGCTGAGCAAAACGTGCTCCGGTACGGGGCCCATGGGTCGGCTTGCGCAATCGAGGTCGAGGGGCTTCAGCGCCACCCCCCCCCCCCCCCCCCCGGCCGTAGGGTTTAGGGCATAGGGTTCAGGGTTATGGCTTCAGGGCTTTAAGGCTTTACAGAAAGCTCCAAAAAGTTGGAACATCCTTATCCCCATACCCCACAAGGTATATTAAGGGGGATCCCGGCTCTGATGATCCTTAAACCATGTTCCAACTTTGTGAAGTTCACTGTAGGGCTTTAGGGGTTCGGGGCTCCGAAAACTATAGACTCCATAAGCCCGAAAACACTCCATAGACTGCCAGAAGCCCCTTACCCCCCAACCCTCGTCAAAGCCCGGGCACTGGATATGTGGCAAAGGGGAGGAACATGACATTAGACCTTGGCTCGGGAGTTGAAGGGGTTGAGGGGTTCAGGGGTTCAGGGGTTCAGGGGTGGAGAGGTGGAGAGGGTTTAGGGTTGAGGGTTTGAGGTCCCTGGCTGCCAAGGTCAACTGCTACGGAGGGCCCCAAGGCTGCCGTGGAGCACGATCACCTTCTGAGGCTCAGGATGTGGATGGACCGTCAGGGCATAGGCTCGGACCGGGCCCACCTGAAACAGAGCGGTGTGGCGCCTGCCCAGCGGCAGCACCAGCATGGCAGCCATGCCAGGCTCGGGGATGTCGCTCCGCACGATCATGCGTGCAAAGTAGGCGTCCCACTCCGGCTCCTCTGGCTGGTTCTTAGTAGGGAATGAGGGAATGAGTATCCTACATAATCCCTGAAAGGGTATATATAGCGCCCTCAGTCCCTACTAAGAACCAGTGGTCCTTCGGCGCGCCCGCGGAGGCCCCCTCGTGAAGGCAGGAGGGGCTTTCGAGGATCTGGCGCATGGAGCACACGCGCAGGGGCTCCTTCGCATCCTCCTGGCGGATGCGGACAATGGCATCCCCGGGGCTGACTTGCTCTTGCCACTCCTGGGCTGCAGAGCGGAAACCGAATCTTGTTCCTATAGCCCCCAAAAACCCTAAACCCTAAACCCTGAACCTATATGTCAAGTTCTTCAACATTAGCCCAGACTCTGCATGGAGAAAGCCTGTCATGCTCGCGATGGGCTTGCTGAGGGCTTCCTGGGCGAGGGAGGCCCTGAATCCTCGTAAGGCTTCTTATTCTGAGTTCAGGGTGTAGGGTTTAGGGTTTGCTTCTGCTTTTTGTTCTGATTACTGTTATTGATCTTGTTTGCTTAGGGTTTCGGGAGCAAAGTGTTTAAAGGATTGAAGGTGTAATTGCTTTGGGGTTTCAAGGATCAAAGGAACCCTAAACCCTAAACGCTAAACCCTAAACCCTAAACCGACACAGGTAAGATGGAGAATGGTGCCGAAGGCCAGTTCCAGCTTCCGGCCGAGTGAGCCTCACTGCTTCTGTGGGGTTTAGGGTTTAAGGTTTAGGGTTTTAGGGGTTGGGGTTTAGGGTTTAGGGTCTAGGGTTTAGGGTTTAAGGTTTAGGGTTTAAGGTCTAGGGTTTAGGGTTTAGGGTTTGGGTTTAGGGTTTGGGGTTTGGGGTTTGGGGTTTGGGGTTTGGGGTTTGGGGTTTGGGGTTTGGGGTTTGGGGTTTAGGGTTTAGGGTTTAGGGTTTAGGGTTTCAATACAAAAGAAGGCGTAGCATCACATAAGCATGGATTCCCTACTACGGACCGGGTGGCAAGGAAGATGCCGGCAGCGCCGTGCTCACGACAAACTGCAGCCGGGTCATGCAGGATCCACCTAAAAAGCGGTGCAGTCCGCTTGACACAATCAAAAATAAACCCTAAACCCAGAAACCCTAAACCCGAAAAACCCGAAAACCCCTAAAACCCCCTAAACCCCCCTAAAACCCCCTAAAAGCCCCTAAAGACCCTAAAACGCCTAAAACCCCTAAATCCCCTGAAACCCCTGAAACCCATAAATCCCCTAAAACCCCTAAAACCCATAAATCCCAGCCACCGAAGAGAAGCCGCAAAGGCGGCCCTGGTTACCCCTTCAGACGAGCATCCGAAACCCTAAACCCTAACCCTAAACCCTAAACCCTAAACCCAGCCACATGTGGAGAACTTGTAGCAGATGCGGCCATCGTGCTCCCAGCGGCCGTCAGCAAACATCTCTTGAACGTTCATCCAGCCACGGGTGTCCTTAGGGTTTAGGGTTTAGGGTTTGGGGTTTGGGGTTTGGGGTTTGGGGTTTAGGGTTAGGGTTTAGGGTTTAGGGTTTAGGGTTTTGGCTTTGGGTTTGGGGTTTAGGGTTCTGGGTGTTGGGCTGGGGGGGAATCTTATGGAACCATCTGCTGCTCTAGCCTTTCGGGAAAGACCCTGAGATCGTGCCTTGCCAGTTCGCTGTAAGCTCCCTGAGCCGGGGAGGGTTGAGGGTTCAGGGCTTAGGGATTAGAACTGAAGGTTGAGGAGGCTGGAAGGGTGAACTTCAGGGTTAGGGTCTCAGGTTCAAAGTTTGGGGCTGGTCCAGCTGTTGGGCCGTTGAAAGCCGAGACTCCGTCGCCTCCACGATGTTGATGAAGAAGTCTTCGATGTCGATGTAGGGGGTCAGCTCATCAAGCGCAGCCGTGCCAGCCATGCTGACGCTGCGGAATCCGACGCCCTAAGCCCTAAGCCCTAAACCCTAAACCCTAAACCCTAAACCCCCTCCCAACCCCTACACCCCTGAAGCTCTGAAGGGTCTGGGGCCCTGGAAAGGGTCTGAGCTGAGGGCTGGGGGCTAAGAAGGCATCCCTTTGGAGCCCCCCCTTCCCCTTAAAAGCCCTAAACAGTAAACCCCAAACCCTAGCCCTAAACCCTAAACCCTAAACCCTAAACCCCCTTCAAGCCCTGTCCTCGAAGGCCTTCGTGTTTTGGCGCTTAAGGGCACCCAGAAGCCCCGAAATCCTATAGTTCAGAGCGAAGTCAGGGTTGAAGTACGAGGGGCTTGAGTTCCAGGGTTTAGGGTTTAGGGCTAGGGTTTAGGATTTAGGGTTTAGGGTTTCGGGTTTAGGGGGACTGGGGGAGTTCATGACCCTGTGTGCCGCAGGAGGTTGACAAACAAAGAAGGCAGCGGCTGAGTGGCGGAGATACCACGACATGCCCCCAAAACATTCTGGGGCCCTTAATAAATAAGATAGGGTTTAGGGTCTAGGGTCTAGGGTCTAGGGTTTAGGATTTAGGGTTTGGGGTTTGGGGTTTCGGGTTTCGGGCTTAGGGTTTAGGGTTTAGGGTTACTATGTATACTTATACAGAGGCCATAAGAGCATGCGATGAGCAGCTATGCCGACCCCTAAGTACCGGAATGAGCTGCTGTGTGAATATGAAACAGCAGGGGAGAGCTAAGGGGCTTGGGGAAGGGGAACTGCACACCTCAACATGGCTCCGACGCATGGTGATGGCGGGCTCGCCCCGAAAAAATTCCACACCCTAAACCCTAAACCCTAAACCCTAAACCCTAAACCCTAAACCCTAAACCCTAAACCCTAAACCCTTCCACCCTTGCACCCTGAACATTCTTCAACCCTTCAGCCCCTTCAGCCCACACCTTCGACATTAAAAACGAGTACAACGATGACGACTGCTTCTCTGTTACTCTGACTACTTGGAGGTTCATGGTACCTACTAACCAATCATAACTGCACATATGACCCACTTATAAGCCCCCTTAAGTGCCCTAATATGGTCGTGAGTACAGCTATAAGTACAGTTATCAGGGCGGTTGTCAACATTATGGTCCCTTTTTGGATCCCTATCATAATACGGCACCTAATATTTAGGGCACCCCAAAAGGGTTTAGGGTTTTAGGGTTTAGGGATTAGGGATTAGGGATTAGGGTTTAGGGTTTAGGCTTTAGGGTTTCGGGTTTAGGGTTTAGGGTTTAGGGAACCACCCTTATGGACCTCCAAGTATACCATGCTTACTACCAGCTGGTACCCTTGCTACTGCAGCTTCCTCGGCATGGCCCTAAACCCTAAACCCTAAACCCTAAACCCTAAACCCTAAACCCTAAACCCTAAACCCTAAACCCTAGGAGGCCCTGACACCTTTCAAGCCTGAGACAAGATGCCAGTCCCTGGAGGCCAACCTCCGTGCTCGTGCCAGGCGAGCCTGGAGGCCGAAAGAGTTGTTTAGGGTTTAGGGTTTAGAGTTTAGGGTTTAGGGTTGAGGGTTTAGGGGTTTAGGGTTTAGGGTTTAGGGTTTAGGGTTTCGGGTTTAGGGTTGGATTCAGAGCTTCAAGTCTAGGACTTAGGGGGTTTGGAAAAATTTGAACTTACTGCTCGAGATGTATCCCTCTGGAACAGGCAAGCCCAACACCTCAACAAGTGGAAAGGACTCCGCAGCGCTGCAAACCCTAAAACGCTAAACCCCCCCGCTCCCACGTTGCGCGACGCCCCCTTTAAAAACACAACAGCTCCCCGAAACAACCCCTACAGCCTAAACCCTAAACCCTAAACCCGAAACCCGAAACCCTAAACCCGAAACCCCAGACCCCTAACCACACCTCCGCGGCCGAAAGGTCCACCGGCGTGGCGCAGCGGAGGAAACTCTCCGCCGCCATGAAGGCAGGTGTTCCTTCGAGGTGTTTAGGGTTTGGGGTTCAGGGTTTAGGGTTTAGGGTTTGGGGTTTGGGGTTTGGGGTTTAGGGTTTAGGGTCAGGGTTTATGGTTCAGGGCTTAAGGTTTTGGCTTTGGGGTTTAGGGCTTAGGCTTTTAAGGCTTGGAGCTTGGGGTCAGGGTGGCTGTGGCGGACCCCTACCTCGCTACCCCTTAAACAAACCCCAAGACCTACTCACGAGCTCCGGACAATCAAACCCCCACAAGACCCCTGAGCCCGCTACCTAAGAGGCTTACTACTTCTCAGGTAATTTGAAAATCAGGTACCCTATTGCATCCCTTAGAACAGGGCAAAATCTGGGGATACAAGTTGCCTAATTCCCAAATACCCTACTGAACCCTACAGTAAACCCTAAACCCCTAAACCCTAAACCCTAAACCCTACTGAGAACGAGGAAGCTTTGGCCCTAGGCCTTCCAGCGGTGTCGGTATGCCACCCAGGGCCATGTCAATCCCGTGCTTTGGGCGCTCCTGTGACCACCAGTCTAGGTTTTGAGGGTTTTGAGGGTTTGGAACCCTAAACCCTAAACCCTGAACCCTAAACGCTAAACCCTAAACCCTAAACCCGGTTTTGAGGGCTTCGAAGGTTTTGGAGGTTTTGATGAGCGTTTGAGGGTTTGGGTGACCGCGGCTTACTTTCGTGTCCGTCTCAACCCGAAAATCCATAAGTCTCCAAGCCTTGGAGAGCTGTCAACTCCTGAGCGCAACGCTGAGAGGATGCCGGTGCCCCCCCCCCCCCCGGTAACCTAAGTCATAGCCCCCCCAAATCGCCAAAACCTCGCCGAAACCCGTAAGCCCCAGAGACCCCCCCTGAGCCCTAAACCCTAAATCCTAAATCCTAAATCCTAGACCCTAAACCTAAGTCCGCACAACCAGCCGCCTCCTCCGAGTGGTGCATGGAGCCGGCCAGCCCGAAGTCGGCCAGCTTGGCCACACCCTCCTGGGTTTGGGGTTTATGGTTTGGGGTTTGGGATCTAGGGTTTGGGATTTAGGGTTTAGGGTTGAGGTTTGAGGGTTGAGGGTTTAGGGTTGACGGTTGAGGGTTTAGGGTTTAGGGTTTGCGGCTTGGGGTTTAGGGTCTAGGGTTTAGGACGCTTTAAGGTTTACGGTTTGGGGCTTCGGGTTTACGCTTACGTCTTCGGGTTTTGTGTTTTGAAGGTTGAAAAAGGTTGAGGAGCGCTCTAGGGCAGTATCTTTAGGGTTACTGTACCACGGACAACAAACAACGAACCCCTTAACCGCTGTGGAGCCAAGGCTCTGTCCTACATACCACAGGTACATAACATGTGTATGTTTGGTGTGTCCCAAAATTCAGGTTGAGGGTTTAAGGTTTAGCGTTTTCGTGTTCCCATACAAAGGGGCTTGTACCTTTATCTGTGGCAAACAAACACTACGCCAACTTTGAAGGAATACAGTATACTTTGAAGGAATACAGTATACTAAACTTTGAAACCCACAGAAATGCTACACCTTGACGCACGTGCCCCCCCCCAAAAAAAAAAAAAACCTTGAACCTCAGACGTCCTGAAATCGAAAGACACCTCAAGCCCATGCAAACCCCTACTGCCATAACAAAAAAAGCTCGAAACACCTAAGAAAGCCAAAAACGCGATTTCAAGACATAGTGTACGTTGAGCAGGATGCCCGGGGAGGGGGGGGGATTCAATCGACCTGAAGCCGAAGCCGAATTAGTGAAGCTGCACGCTGAAGGTGACGCCGCATTGTCAGACGCCGCATTGCGGGGTGACGCCGACTTGTGTCGAATTGTAAGCTGAACTACCCCGTGGTGCCGAATTGGGAAGCCGATTTCCCCCCTGGCGCCGAACTGTGAAGCCAACCCTCTGACGCCGCCCGCGTCGGCTCCAACAGGACGGCATGAGGGGAGTCCATTTGGGGTTTCTAGAAGCTGCGGCTGGGGTCGAGGAGAATCTCGCACACAGTTCTTGCGGAAGCTGCTTCAAGGGGTCAATGCGACTTCGCATGCTTCTGTGTGCCTGCCCCAGCCTTGTCCCCGCAACGCGGCTTTGCAATGTGACTTCCCTTCTGATTTGGCTTCGCAACGCGTCTTAGCCCCCTGATTTGGCCTTGCAACGAGTCTTCCCCCCTGGTTCGGCTTCGCAATGCGCCTGTGCTTGCCCATGCGTCTTCGCCTTCCAAGGCGTCTTCGCCTTCCAAGGCGTCTTCGCCTCCTAATTCGGCTTTGCCGACTGGGCCCGTTAAGAAGTCATTCGGATTCGCAAAGCAGCTTCGGCTTCAGGTCGATTCAACCCCTACCGCCCCCCCCCCCCCCCCCCCCCCCCCCCCCCCGCCCAACCGCAATGCAAGGAAACAAACCCCAAAGCCCGTGCCTTCTGGGAATCAGAATCCTCGGTAACCTGCCACGAGCATGTGCCCTCTTAAGAGGGTTTAGGGGGGTTTAGGGTGGAGGTTTCGAGCTGCGGGTTTCGAGAGGACGGACAGGGGACAGGGGCCGAGGCAGGGGTCTCTTCGGGGTGTTAGGGCTTAGGGGCTGAGGGTTGATTGAGCCTAAAC